CTGGTTTTAATGCTGCATAAATATGCATTGTCTCATGCCTGTTTGCTTTGGATGCTGTGTGCTGAGCTGTAACAAGATGTTGCTTTTGTTATCTGTATACAGCTGCTTGCTTGAAATCAGTAGATTCTGAAATAGCTTTTCTTGCATGTCTAAAATAAAAGTATTGCATGTACTTTGTCTCATGTGGATGACTTTTTTCTTCTCCACCCCTTTTGATAAGATAATGTTTTATATTTTCATTTTTCCAGGTGATTTTTTAAATTGTGGTAAAAACACATAATGTAGAGTTTATTTTAAAGGTTACAGTTCAATAGTGTCAAGTATATTCACATTCTTGTGCAACAAATCTCCAGAACTTCATCTTGCAAAACTGAAACTCTAGACCCATCAATCCACCACTCCCTACATCCCTCTCCACGAAACCATTGTACTTTGTTTCTATAAATTTGACTTTAGATAATAGTTTTTCTGGGTAATGTTGAGCTATGATTTCAGTGTGAACACGTGAAAAGTACATTTTATATTTTACACATAATTTGTAAAATATTCTACTTGTACAACTTGAAAGGATTAAAATATGTAAATGAAACTAGGCCTCTTAGAACAAATACACTAAGTAATTCATATTCAAAAAGCAATCTGACTCTCTTCAGGAAATGCTATATGAGACTATAAGCAATGAGCAGGTGTGGTAGGGGTGTGTGTGACTGGCTCCAGGGAATAGTTTTGGGCCATTTTTACATGGACAAGCTGGGAATGTAAACTGTATAGAATTGAGTGTAGGCATCCTTTAATAACATTGAAGGTCCATCACTTCCATCCGATTTCTTCAAAAACTTAACGTGCAGACTTCAAGAGAATACTATGAAGAACTTTTCTGTACACACATCCCTCAACTTCAGCAACCATCGATTTAATATTGTTTGCTCTAGCACAGCTCCCCCTATTTTTGCCTCAGTATTTGAGAGCAAGCCCTCTCCATCCTGTCATTTCATCTAGAATACTTTAGAAGGTATCTGCAACAGATAAGTACTATTCCCAACAAAATCAACAGTAAGTGATCCTAATATCTTTTGCCTGCCTGTTTTTTCTGCTTATCTGAGAAATGTCTTTTTATAACCGATTTAAGACCAGATTCCAATCAAGGCCCACATTGTATCTAGTTGATGCATCTTAAGTCTGTTTTAATTCTTCACAAGCCTACTTTTTATCCCCCTGCCATCTTTTTTTTTTGAACCAGGGTATTTATGCCATAAAATTTCTTCCATTCTGTATTTGGCTCGTTTTATTCTTGTGTCAATGTTTTACTTGTTCTCTTATCCTTCATCTATATTTTTATTTAGATCTGTAACCTGATTAGATTGAAGTTCAGTCTTAAGAGGGCAAGCATACTCCATAGATTAGACTGCCTTTTTAAAAAGGCCTTTTTTCACTCAAGCTAATTTTTATTCATTTCTAGTACTACACAAACATGCTGACAACTCATCATATGAACTTTATATAATTGGTTTATAGTACTTCAATATAGCACTGAATGCTAAATACCTTTATTTAGATTTTAGTCACGTAATGACATTATCAGCTAACATTTTTTGAGCACTTTCTATACACCAGGCACTGAGCCTTAAACTCATTTACTCTCAACATGAAGGTAAGTACCATTCTTCTTGTTTTCCAACTATGGAAACAGACTGTAGAATCTTATGTATGATTATACCATGAAGTGCCTTACATACAATTAAATCTAATGTTCTAAAGATTTATGATTTAATGTTTTCTTTCCTTGTTTTGTGCTGTACCACGAATAGGATGCAAAAGTAAGTTTATTCATTATTAGATACTAAAAATTTACATTGTTTTTCTCTTAAAATATTGTGTGACCTTTTAATTACAAAATTGATAATAATACCTGAAAGTTGACCTACTTGGTCCTTTTTTATGCCCCTTTGGAAAATTTTGAAGTACTTTTTCTACATATGGCTGCTTGTCTACCTTTAACATTTAAAAACAAGTATTGGTTGTTACATAAGACAAAGAGCCTTTAGTTCCGGAGTGTTTTTTCAGTATGTGACAAAAAAGCATGGAAAACACTAGGTGAAGCATTGTGGGAACTCAGGACTTGGTGGGGGCGGGTCCTGCTTTTTATTTGAATTATAAAAGTAAGTTAATCTTTCCTGTATATGATTAAGTAGCAACAATTTCATACATTGCTAGTGAGTTCCCATTGAGCTTGACTGCTTTTTGTGTTATGGCAACAGTACCAAGCACATTAGTATGTAATTAGTTGGTATTTAATGAATGCCGAGAACATCCTTCTATGGTCGCCAATGATGTGGGCATAAATCCCTAGGTAACCACTGGCTGTCACTAGTAGAATGATCCTGTAACACTGAATTTCTTCTGTAAAATGGGCATGCCCTTTATGTCAGTTTTTCACATTTTTAAGACTCCCTCCCTGGATCTGCTTACCAGAGTCTCACGTTTTCCCTCCACAGGAAGCTGAGACCCCACGTAGTGTTCTTGAAGAAATTGGACTGACATAACTCTCCTCCCTTGTTGATGACTTCTTGTGGCATTTCACACACTGTAGATGGTCACTGCCTTCATGTCCATGTTAGCTAATGGTGTAAGATGATGTCTTGTCAGTATTACTGTTTTGCTAAGCTGCTTCATTCAGGCCTACATTTTTTTTTAAAGGGAACTTTGATCAATTGAATGAAAAGGGACTTCAATTTGGATTAGAAATATGCATAAAGTACTTGGATTTCTCAAATTTATAGGTCTATTTCTCATAACTGACTATGTGCATATGTGAAAATGACACATCTCTGTACAAGCAATATCAAACAATTCGGCAGTGTACATTTGTTAATTACTGTACTTGACAAAGGAAGGTTAAATTATAATGTGAAACCTGGTTTTACGAAACCAAAGATGAGTGCAGCATTTCCGTATATATGGTAAAAATAAGGGAATCAACATGTCACATATTGAATGGATGAAAATTTAATTGTTGAAACTTAAACAAATTTATACCAAAGAACCCTATTGGACACTACATACCTTAAAATAAAGGGAATACAGATTATTTTAGATGACTAAATTGGAAGATGTCATTTAAAATTAATAACTAAGCATTCTGAATGAATGGGACAAGGAACATTTGAACCCTGAGATGATTTTTTTTTTTTTTTTGGTGGTCATAATCATTTAGTTACTCAGATTGTTTTTGATGCCCCCCAAATGAAGTAGAAATGTTAGTGTGTCAGTTCTTCATAACAGTATCTTACAGAAACATTGCCCTCTTCACAGTGTTGTGTAAAGTCATTGTTTAAAGCATGAATGTTCCTTCTGGGGTCATTTAAAATTAATAACTAAGCATTCTGAATGAATGGGACAAGGAACATTTGAACCCTGAGATGATTTTTTTTTTTTTTTTGGTGGTCATAATCATTTAGTTACTCAGATTGTTTTTGATGCCCCCCAAATGAAGTAGAAATGTTAGTGTGTCAGTTCTTCATAACAGTATCTTACAGAAACATTGCCCTCTTCACAGTGTTGTGTAAAGTCATTGTTTAAAGCATGAATGTTCCTTCTGGGGTTCTTGTTCAAGCTGAGATTATTTTGGTTCCCTTTGCTTCCTTCCAATTACAAGTTCTGCAAACTTTACAGAAGCTTCCTTTCCTTCCATGGCACTACCTAGTTATCAGAAGTATAAAAATCTTAAAAAGACACCTTTCATTTAACAGTGAGTTGAAGTAAAATGGCATTAGGTGGCCCTATATTTTTAAAAGCTTATATAATTGTTCAGCATCACTTTTATACATACACATATCTAAACATGTCTGTGGTTTACACTTTCACTTGTATATGCTGGGCTGGATTAAGCTTTGTTGTAATTGTGACCAACATCAGGCCACGTGAGCACTGTCTTATCACATTGCCAATTAGCTGTAATAAATGTTCGACATACAAACACCGTAGTGTGTTTTTATCTTTTTCCAAAAGTGTGTCAAACTGTCAAGCTGCTGAAGGAAGATTTTTTTTCCCCAGTAAAATGTTGAAAATTTCCCTTCATTTGACTGCCCCCCCCCCCATTTGAATGTGGTGGTGGGTTTATAAGCACACACAAGAAAAAATGGTGATGATTTACGGAGTCTTCATGTACTTCAAGTTCATTGAAAAGTAACATGGATTCCATGCTACCAAGAGCTTACCAACACATTTATTTTCAATCAATAAATGCCGCTTTTAAAACCTTGATGCAGTTGACTTTTCTACTCTCTGAATGAACAACTCGAAATTATTCCAGGTCATCGAAAGGTATTCCAAATTATCTGAAAACTCTCATCTTCCATATACTGGCACATGCAACAAATCCACTTTGGTTATCATAATAGTAAAAGGGCCTCCTGGGCTGGAGATGTAGAGCACCTGCCTATCATGCATGAAGCCCTGGACTCAATCCCCAGGTTGGGGGGTGGGGAGGGAGCTATGGACTTTCTATTACTGTAGATAGGAAATGTTACATTTTAAAAAAAAAATTTTTTTTAGTTGTTAATGGACCTTTACTTATTTATATGCAGTGCTGAGAATCGAACCCAGTGCCTCATGCATGCTAGGCAAGCACTTTACCATTGAGCCACCACTCCAACCCCAGGAAATATTACATTCTAAAGCTGGGATTTTTAAGAACAAGGAAATGATTCCATCAAATTAAGTGGCTAGTCTACTAAAAAGACATAGGTCTAAAGCACCTCAGTCAATGCAGCTATTCAGTAAAAAGCCTATGGGCTTCTGCCAACAATGTAGAGTTGGAGCTTTTAAGTCACAAATAGTAATCAGGTTATGCATATAATACCTTAATAATATATTAATCTCCAGATGGATTTTTATCAGGGTAATGAACCAGTCAGAAGTTATAAACTTCCTTTCTCTCCCTTACTGCTTGTTAACATTCAAGGGAAGCTGAATGTGGTGGCAGCACACACCTGTAAACACAGGGATTTGGGCAGTTGGGGCAAGAGGATTGCAAGTTCAAGGCCAGGCTCTGGCAACTTAGAATGTGTCTCAAGTTTTTTTTTAAAGGGCTGGAGATGTAGCTCAGTGGCAAAGCATCCCTAGGTTCAATCCTCAGAATGGAAGGAGAAAAAATTGTTTTTTTCATCTCAAGTCATCTTGAACTCAAGAAGGGATATAACTTAAATGGTATTCGCCTAGCATGCTTGAGGCCCTACCAGGGCTCAATCCCCAGCAAAACCCACCCGCACCCCCAATTGTATAAGCATGTCTGTAGTTAGAAAACTATTAAAAAATAAAGAAAATTTTAATCATTTTTAGATTAAAGCAGGCATTTACAGTGGAACAAGTCAGATTCTTTAAACTGAAATTATTCTCAACCACATACTACTTTTATTAACTACCAGATTACAGAAGTCAAAGAATATCATGCAAAAATCTGATTCTTTAAAAAGTTTGGCTGTTTCAGTTTTTTGTTTTAGCTTTTCAGGATTTGGTGTATCTTTAAGTTCTTATCCCCAAATCTTAAATTTCTAAATGCTACATACCCTGAAATTCGAGATCCAAAGTATGTCAGTTGAAAATAGTTCTAAAAAATTTATAGAAAGGCATGAGAGCATCTTTTCTTATTTATGATCTGAAATCTAGGGATAATGTGCCTGAAGCTTTTTATACATTAGGTTTTCTTCCCTGACCTCTCTTCTATGATTTCTATTCTAGAATTGTTTTGACACTAGGCATATTCTGTAGCAATGACTGATTTTCCCAAAAATGACAAAGATAAGCATTATACCTAAAGAACTTAAAAAAATATATATATACGTAGATAGAAAATTCCCAACTGAAGAGGTACTACAGATATGTGGTAGGAGGGGGGAAATGTACTTTATCCTTTACTACTTTAAAACTGACAAAATGAATTTTAAAGCAAAAAAAGCCATTCAGCTTTTGCATACAGAAAAATCCAATAGATTATTTTTAAAAGGCAAACAAAATGGCCATTAAATACAGAAGAAAAAATGTTTGCTTTAATCAATATGTACAGAAACAAATATTTAAAATTTACCAAATTGACAAAGATTAAAATAACTTAGTGTTGTGAGAGCAGCAGAGCCTATTATTGCTAGAGTAAATGTTTTGTAGTCTTTCTGGAAGGCAATTTGAAAATATAATACTTGTCTTCTTTGATGTAAGTTATCCTAAGAATATGATTAGAAATATGTGGGATTAATTAAAGAAATCCATCACAGGATTGTTTTCAGCACAGGATTCTTGAATGGTACAAAATTAAAAATCCACCAATAGGGATATGGGTACATAAACTGGTAGAGGCCCACTGTGCAGTGTATAAAATGACAAGTGGGCTTGATGAAATGAGACGTTTCTTGTGGAAAACATTCAACTAGAGCTATATATAATCTTTGAATAAAAAAAATATGTGTACCCAGTGGCTCAGGAGGCTGAGACAGGAGGATCTGAGAGCAAAGCCAGCCTTAGCGATTTAGTGAGTCCCTAAGCAACTTAGTAAGATGCCGTCTCATAAGAAAAGGGCTGGGGATGTGGCTTAGTGGTTAAATGCCCCTGGATTCAATCCCCAGTACCCCCCCAAAAAAATAATTATATGTGTGTATGCATGTGTGTGTGTGGTGTAGACACACCACACACACACATAAATAATTTAATAATCTCTCAGGGTAAGAGTTATAAGTAATTTTCATATTATTAGATTTTCTATACTAAACTCAGTTTGATTATCAAAGAGTTAAAATATTTTAAAATAGGATTCCAGGTTATATAGGCTTTTGTCAGACTCGGGAACCCATCTGAGCACACAGTCCTCTATCTAAGAATGTAGTAGCCATAATAAGTAAGATATGCAACCATTAAAGAATAAAATAGGTTTATTTGGATTTGGGACTCTGAATCGTTCTGTCTTTACTACCTGACCTCCTCCCGCCACAACTCCTGGATCTAGACGAGCTCTGGCTCTGGCTCTGGCTCTGGCTCTGGCTCTGGCTCTGGCTCTGGCTCTGGCTCTGGCTCTGGCTCTTACTCCGGCTCTTACTCCGGCTCCGGCTCCGGCTCCGGCTCTTACTCCCGCTCCTGCTCTGGCTCTGGCTCCTGCTCCTGCTCCTGCTTTTCCTGCTCCTGCTCCTTCTGCTCCTGCTCCGGCTCTGGCTTCTGTGGCTCCTTCGGCTTCTATGGCTCCGGCTCTGGCTGCCCCGGCCCCTGCTTCGGTCTCTTTTTCTTCCTCTGCTTCGTGAATTATGCCTCTCACGACTCTTTGTCATGTGTTTGTGAGATTTCTTTGCCCTGTGTGCACTTCTCCTCTTCCTCTCAGACTCCCCATTTCTCTTGTAGTTGTGGTCAGCACTAGGGCTTCTTCTCCTCCTCCTGCCATAGTATTCTTCGTGGTGGCCCATTCTCTCCCTCCTCTCTGAGTTCTTACCAAAGGAGGAGCCAGTCCGATCCGGAGACAGGTAGATGTCTCTATTAGCTTCCCAAAATTCATTGTTGGGATTTCTGAATACATGAAGAAAGTTGCAGTGTTTTCCTCTTGGACATTGTTGTATTTCAAACAAACCTGCAATGGCACAGTGAGAAAAACAGCAATTACTACTGTGTATTCTGAAGATGGCACTTCGTTCCAAAGGTACATTTCTGATGTTCGGATATGTTTGAATTACTTCCTATTATTTGGTAGCTAAGAGGCTTACATATATTGATTCTCAAAATTTCAAAAACATTCAAATGGTCTAACAACTGGAACTCTGAAAGGTATCAAATCAGAAGTTTTAATTAACCAGAATATTCTGTACACCTATTGTATCATCAGAGTGCAACTGAACAAGTGGTGACCACATTACCTTTTCTACAGTAATTAGATCCCTAATAACACGGAAGAGCCAGGCCTTGGGGTCCCTGTGGTGATGACCTCAAAAGCGCATGTCGATGGCAGGACAGAACCACTGGTCAAAAGAAAAGGCCTATCATAGGTAGATGAGCCTAT